GAGACGTACGTGTACATGAGTCCGGCGTCTCATGTACACGTACGTCTCATGTAAAGCAGCTCATGGCCCTTGACTGCATGTCATCCTCTCTCTTCCCCTTTCGCACTAAACGTGTCTTGTTCAATAAAGGCAAAAGTGAAAAAAAAAAAAATCTTAAAAAAAACTACCATACTAATAATAATTCAAAATGAATGCAATAATCAGATTTCTTTCTTTATTCAGCTCTCATTTTTTCCGCTTCATACGTGCGGTGTCTAAGGAAAAGGCTTCCTGTCAGAAGAGCACCACAGAGTGAGGGCAGGTGTATCACCCCTGTGTTGAAAGTATGAGTCAAACAGAGATATGATCTGGATGGGAACAAACAATCAACTGACAGGCAGGTAAATAGAAAGATCTGAAGATGAAAAGATACAGTTTGGGGTCTGTTCAGGCTTTACACTTCTCAGTTTTGCTACCGCCTTCAGGCAGCTTTGATTTTGTGTGTGTTTGCTGTGTGAGTGTGTGCGTGTGTGTATGAGTGTGTGTGCAATACACAGATTAAAGAAGTAAGGGGGTGAAGGAGACTGCTCTGACATTTAGAAGCTTCTACTGGCTCTAGCGCCCACCTGCTCATCGACAAAGACTGGAGAGGAACAAACACTAGTTGTACATTGCAAACTACAGCACGGCACTATGGCTGTACAGTATGGTCTGGAAATTATTTCTTATTTAGAGATGAACTATTTATGGACAGAAGAGTGTATTTTGCCACCAGGTCCCTTGGATTTCTCGCTGTACTAGAACTGAAGCTGCCAATTGTTAACATTTTGTGTTATTTATTGCTTTATTTTTATTTTAAGGTAATAAATGACACAGTTTGATGTTTGCTGAAAGTTATCTTTGAAGATTTCTCCAGGGTGAAGCAATCAGCCCACCTATTTCGCTCTGTAATAGATTGGGGCAGAGAAATGACTGAATAATTCTAATAATAAATAAAAGTGTCTCAGAAGTAAAATTGCTTTGCTGCCTTTAGACTGTTTTATATGGCTTTTCTCACCTTCATTTCAACAGATCACATGAATGATTTCTATCTGACCTTAAATAAACACCAGCTGGCTCTATCAACTGCCCTCCTCTCGGTGTAACCCCATGCTTCACAATCAGGGCTTAATTGTCTCTCTCCAATTATCTTTTTCTCTTCATGATTAATGACCAGGAAATTGGCCTATTAAGGTTTAAATGGAATTCCTGAAAACAGCTTGTACCACCTTGCAAGTCTTTCACAAGATTCAACTACTGTGTTTTTTTCTCACAATAAAATCTTTTAATAGCATGTAAGGATACAGTTTGCATGTTTTGAAAAAAAATAAAATAAAATAAAATAAAGAACAATACGTCTGACTTCCTGTTTCAAAATTCACAAATCAGGCAAGGCAGTAAAATCATGTCTTTAATAGAGAGAAACCCATGCCTTAAAAATATACATTGTATTCTTCACAGCAGTGTGTCTTCATGTTATGTCATTGATGTTGAAAACAGGGCTGATCAATCATCTAACTTCCTTCACCACACTCAGCGCTGGACTGATTTAAGTCAGGAGAAATTACCAAACAATTTCAATTACTGAGCATCTTTTTTTTTTCTTTTTTTTTTTGATAAATAAATCACATATTTTTAGGACATAAAAATACACAACCTATGCAAATACCTGAGAGCCCTCACATCAGAAAGTTGTTATCAATATCAGAGATGATCGATCGGCACGCGTTTCTGGATAGTTTTCAATATTCAGTGCCAAAATATACACCTTTCATATATTATTTCTTAAAAAATACAATTCTCCTGAACCCTGCCTTTTACATTTTTGTAAACATTTTTTTCTTAAACTTAAAAAAAAACACACACACAAAAAGGTCACAAAACTATTTGCATTAACATCTCAGCAGAAAAATAGACATTTAGCACACGCGTTTTCAAGATTTACAAAAAACATCCCCGCAATCTAAATCAATAGCAATGATTCTGATTTTCAAGTAAACTCCTCACTCACAAGGAGATGACATTTCTTTCCTACTTTTTTTGTGTTCATATGGCTGCTTCATTTAAAGAATTTGTAAGGCTGTTCTTTATATCAGGAAATAAAATACTTCTGTGCCCCAAAGTCAAATATAACCTGGAGAACAACTGAAAACTGAGAAAATAACTCATATATTATACCCAGTTTATATTAATTTAGTTCTGGCCTGTTTATTTGTGTTCCTTCTAAAGGGGATCAAGGAAGATAAATTTGTGTAACAGTAATTTACATTTGATCATATGATTATTAAAAGGATATGCTGTTTTAGGAGGACCCCTTTTCTAACAGATAAGGCTTCAGATAATAAATATATACAGGAATGATATAATAGAGGAATGTATAGAGTCAATATCACAACTGCGAGGTGTAAACAATTTCCAGTGCCAGTACTTTACAGACAGTAGGTTTTTTATGCTAGCTGGGCACCAGTTGCGCATAAGAGAAGCGACATGTAAACAGAGAAGAAGCTGCCTTTTGATCACAAGTAGACATTGAACATAGAAGGATAATCACTGAGTTTAACCTTTGAGAATAATCAACTGTTTATGATGCTGACTGAAGTGAAACTGCTAATGCCAAACTTCTTGCGAGTACTGTTCCAGTGAAAACAAAAAATGTGCGTTTCCGAGATTGTTCTTTCAGAGAACCCGTGTTCTGCCGATGATTGTTTTCCACTTTACCTACAAAAAACACGAAAAACGAAAAACAATGCCGTCTAGATTCAGGGTATGGACATAAAGTGCAGGGCCAACTGTACAAAGCACAGTCTCATCTGTGTCCTTTCACAGGGAGGGACAGTAACTATGAAAGAGCAGCAGCTAGCCTCAGTAATCGAAATCTGTTACCTCTCAACACATTTTAGATGATGGACAGAAGATTTGGAGGTGGAAAGTGGCTGATCCCTTACTTGCTATTTACATTTTGCATACATGAGCTTTTAAATGTCCAAACAGGTTTACAGTGGAATGCTACAGTTTTTGTGACGTGCCTTCAGAGTAAAACTATGTGCTAACCACACTCACACCGTCTCATTCATGCATGAGGTCATACCCATATGTTGTGACATTACGGCAACAACATATTACCACCACACACATCAAGAATTCACTCGATTCCCTTAATTCCCATGATGCAGTCACTTTTAGGCATTAACCCGCAAATAAAGCTGCACTAGGCAAAATTATAAGGTGCAAAGGACAAAGCACCTGAAAAACAGCTATTTGTGCAGTTTGTGTTGTTTCCCTGTATTTGTCATGACATACAAATAGAATGAAAGAAAAACTGAGGTACATCAGAGGAGAGCAACCCATGCAGTATCTTTAGCCTCCTTTATCCCTTTAGGTATCCATAGCCATAAAGCATCATTTTATGTCATCAAGACCACCCTCTGCCATTTCACGGTGTGATGTCTAAGTCTGCCAGGTTCAAGCAAACTAGGATGCTAGTTTAGTGTGCACAAACTGCAAGCAACAGAACCAGGATAAGAATAATTTTCTATAGGAGCAACCAGGGAAACAAAGAAATGGCCAGTTGTTTTGTGTGCAGAATGCATTAGCTTGGCAGCTGAGAAAATAGGAAGATGAGGAAAAACACGGCCATGGCCAAACCTTTTAGAGTCATGGAGCTGACAATTATCATTAGGCTATATGTTGTGTAGTCTCTTGTTTTCCTTTCATTGAGTTCTACCTTGTAAGTGCAAACATAACAGCTATGGATAAAAATAATTCCTGATTCTAGCAACAAATACAGTTTCATATAATAGAAACAAAAAGATTTTCAAATGTGTATGGCATTTCTTCAGAATATATTTCATCACTTCATTAGACTAATAAATTCTAAAATAAAACTTAAATCTTAAAAAAAAAAATCCTTCAAATCTCCATGTGGATGTTCTAAAATTCAGAATATGAGTCTGTTAAATGATAAAGTATAAGCTAATGTCTTTAAAAAAAAAAAAAAAAGTCAGAGCTGATTTTTTTTGGCAGGACTTGTTTTGAAGTTACAATCTCTGATACAAGCCAGCTACAGGAAGTTGGTGGTCTTCTTTTTTCTGTTTTAGTGGTGGTACACAAGTGCTCCAGCCACTGATAATCAGAAAAAACATGTTTGGTGTAAGTAAATGCTATGCAGCTGTTTGTAACAGGAAATATATCCTCAGTTAGCAAGCTAGCAATGCTAACATTGGCTGCTAGCATAGCAGTCTCATTACTCAAGTTAAGCAAAGACAATGAAAACTAGCTCTATCCTGCAATATAATGTCAGTCGAGGTTTATTAATGAAGGCTATCACATCAGCTGAATCTCACAAAGTGGTTGATAAGAGGTAGTTTTCTGCTATCAGCTAGCTATGTGGCCTTGTAAGAGTGTTAGCATTAGCTAAATGTATATGTAGGCTTTGTAACAGTTGTTTGCATATGATAGAATTTTGTTTGTGAATAGGAAAATGCATTTTTGATAACCACAATTTCTGTATAAATTGTGATATACTGTACATGTACTTTTTATTTGTGTTTATTGACACATTAATGGGCCACTTGTATTAACACTTTCCCTCATATATTGCATCCAAAGCCTCCAAATTCTTCTACTTATATTTACGGTATTCGTTGTTTGGGGCCAGTTGTGAATTATTAAGTAATATCTAATTTCAATTAGAAATTTCAATTACTGGAATCTGGGTATCTTAGATGATGGCACAACTGGCCAAATTTCTACAGCTGCAGATAGATACAATCAGAGACAACCACACTACTGGCAATCAAGACCAAGTGGACACTAAGTTGCTTGCAGCTAGAACACACAGCACCAGTTAGCCGTACCATTACGTGTATTCCAACATTGTTCATAGGAAAGACAATGAGCATTACGGGCCATGGCAAAGTCATAAAAAAAGACAGAAAAAGAAAACTGCATGGATCCTGTATGATATGCAACAGGAAGTGGACAAGTCAATATCATTATTATTATTATTATTATTATTATTATTATTATTATTATTATGTTTAATTGAATTAGAGACTACCTGAAGTCTTTACCTCCATCACCAGTGCTGATTATGACATTCTATCTGTATGCATTCATTACTTCGCAAGAGTGAAAACATTTTTTCTTTAACAAAAGCATGGTTACAGGACAAGCACAACAGAAGACATATACAAAGAAGACTAAAATGAAAAACTAGTCAAAGTCATGTGACAGCTGCTCTGTTATACAATTCATGAACATCTTGAGAGAGAAAAACTTACCTTCCTTCTTCTATAGTAATCTCAATTAAATATGTAGAAAATGTGTCTTTGGCCCATACCTTCATATAATTGTTCAACTGTTCAGATTCACAATAAGTAGCTTAAAAAGAAGTCTATGCTATGATTGTGCTACACTTGTCTACAGTGTCATTCAACTGTGCAGTCTCAGAGGCCTGGGGGTAAGGACGGATATTAGGCTATTGCTCCTTTCCCTTCTTTGTCCTTCCTGTAATCCCTAACCCATCCTCTTACTGGAAGGTGTGTTCACCACGGACTATGTGAGAGGAGAACTCATAGCGGTCTTTGCTGCGGTGACCACAGATGTTGCACTCCAGCGGATCTCTGTATCCGTGGCAACCCATGTGGATGGTGTACATGACATGGTCCAGGAAGAGCACCCGGCAGTGCTCACACTGGAAGGCCCGCAACTCCTGGCCCTCTTGTCCAAACACCCGCACCCCTTCCTGGCTCACAGGCCTCTCTGTGGCCACTCGCATCATCCCAGACCCCATTCCTGCCCCACGATGTGATGCTTCTGTCACCCGTTCACCTGAATAGACCACCGCTGGACTGGCTCGAGACCTGAGGCTGGGAGTGGGGTTGCTCCCGTGGTAGCCCTGCCTCTCGTGAGGGCTGCTGCGAGCTGAGTCAGCAGAGTCAATTCCACTGTTGTTGGGAGATTCCTCTTGCCCTGGCTGGCGCAGCTTGCCCTGCCTGGATAAAGCGCTAGGGCCGTTTGTGGTGGGATGGCTGGGGAAGTCATGGGGCTGAGGTGGCTGTGGCGGCAGTGCCTCACAGTTTCCTGGACGCTCTGTTCGTTGGCCCAATGGCAAGACATGGTGGAAGAGGGGGCTGACCATGGGCACCACTTCGCCCATAGAGAGAGGGGGACCTGGATGGTGGAGCATGGGCCGAAGAGTGTCCGATCCCAGGTATGTGATGGCATTGCTGATGGCCTGGTCCATCATGTGGGCTGACATCAGTTCAGCCTGCTTCTCATACTTAAGGCCCATCTCATAGCCTACTTCAGGGTAACTGTAGCGTACCATCTTTTCACCTGCATGAAAAAGAGTGGCACTATGACTGTGTGGAATTAACTGATGTAACGAGGTCATGCCAATTTTAAAATGTAAGACACAAAACATCCGAAATATAAATGCATTAGCTGAAGTGAAGGGCACACTTTTTCTGTTCGCTATAATCAAGAGAGAAAAATAATGTGCATGAACAAGAGCATTGCTTAATCTCTAGCCAAGTCAAACTTATATCTTGCTGATATTTCAGGCCTTGTTTTTCATATTTTTGTACTTGATATTCTGTGTGTACGAGTCTAATGGTGTGGAAAGCCCCATCCATCTACTACTGCACTGTTTAACCCCTCCAGAACAGGGATGCGGTAAGCTGTTTTCTCTCGATAAGAGCAATGGCAAACTTACAGGTGTACCTAACCACAGAGTGAAAAACATTTCCTTGCTTCTCACTCAACTGCTTGCTCTAGCTTGCTCAATCTCTTTTTCTAATAGTGCGGCAAATATAACCAAATTCAGAAAAAAAAATCTGGCTCGTAAGTAGGGCAGGGCTATAATGTGATGTTATATAATATTGTGTGATGCAGCAATGACAAAGGACAGGAAAACTAACTCACATAAAGTATGTGCAAAAACACTTAGGTTTAACATATTTCACTTCTATTAGGATAAAAGTAAAATCAGTAGCAGATTACATGATTAGATTTTAACTAATGCATTCTCAGACTCATACAGAGCGACTGTTAAATCCCAATTTCTCAGCGACTGCTAGGACGTGTTACATTTCTTTCACGTGGTTGCATGGTAGTTCATCAATGCAGAGCACAACACATCATTTCCAACCACTACCTTCACATTAGACTCAGAAAGCAAATGGGAGTTGCTGAAATTTAATAAGATCAAATACTTCTGTGCATCAGGCTGGTCCTCATGGACACTCCTCAGTGACTAAAGGTGAGAAAACCGTTGACTGCCTGGCTATATTTGAAATACCCACCCACAAATTTCTGAGGCGTGGTGCTCTTCCTCTTGCCCACGTTGCTCTGTAACCTTTCAATAACGGGCGGCCGATCAAAGGAAGCCATGGTGTTGGGTTCTGCCATGGGCCTCGGCTCTTTAGGGACCTCACCTTGAAAGGTTAAGCAGGGAAAAGAGTAAGAAAGGGTGAGAAAATATTTGGGTGTTGTCACGATACTGGAATCTCTAACTTCAATACAGTACCTTGAAAATTAAAATTTTCTTTTCTTAGTAGCAGAGAGCAGCAGAATGACTGTTGTAAACATTAATAATAAGAAAGAGCAATAAAGTGCAGCTGGTACAGGTGTATCAATGGTTTTTAAAATGAGTACTGAAACTATTTCAAATATTCAGAATCAATATGTATCAATAATTCTGGTTGTACAAACTATGAACAGATACATTAAAAAATAATGTGAGTAAATAATAAATACATAGCCAGAAAAACAGTATTATTGTAGTAATTGAGCCTATTTTTTCACATCACTCTTTTTTAAAGTGATTATTTCCACACAGGTCCAGTTGGATTACTTTCAAAAAATCAGTAGTTCATAAATAAGCTTCACAGATTACAAATTATTACTGATTTTGTCCTGCAAGATTTGCCTTTTCCTTTTTTTTCCTTTTCTGTATTACTGTTTTCCTTGCACATCCAGCACTCTCCATTTTCATGGTTTCAGTTTTAGCAAAACTCCTTACCTGCGTAAGGGCCAGTGTTGGTGTTCGGATCCAAGCTGATGCCCTGCAGGTAACTATGGCAGCGCTCTTTGTGTTCCTCCAGAGAAGTGCGCTGCTTGTAGCTCCGCCCACAGTAGTTACACTTGTGTGGTTTGCCAACTAAAAGTGAAGACATTCGAGGGAGAGCATATTAATTTCATTCACTGCGAGAGACAGAGAGAGTGGGTAGCGTCCGATGAGATAACGCAACCTGCCGCGGTGTTGAGGCAGTGTGTAGTAGTAAATACTGTGTTAGAAGTACAAACAAACCAAAAGCAAGCCTCTGAGATCATGGATGTTCCACTACTAGTGTGAGGATTCCACACAAGCCAGACAGAAAGACAGGGCTGTGGGTGACAAAGATAGTTGCACCATGAAGTCTGCATTTCAAAACACTTTGGTCTCTGAAACATACAGCTAACTCCCACTGCTGAGTGAATAGTGGAGTTGATCATGCATCCCATGATGGTGGTAGGAAAATAACTCCAATGTTAAACTGCTATGGAGGTGGAGTATGATTCATTGTGCCATTTCTATTTTATTCAATTCCTTCCTACCTAGACAAGTGGAAAGATGAAGACATATCCTATCTATCTCGGCCAAGCCATCGGCCCATCTACCCTTCCATCCATTGAACTTGCTATATTGCTTAATGAATGGATAAACTAAATAATAAATGCATATATAAATAATAACAAAGGCATGTAGTTATGAGCTGACAGGAAGGCCTAGTTATCGGCCAATATTTGTTAATATCACCGGTGTCATTCTTTCTTTGTACAATGGCAGGCTGTTCATATACATTGTTCGTAGTTATACCCACAAAAAGTAATGCACCGCAACTTGTATATAACCCACATAATCATGTGCCAGTAATTTGTGTATATCGAACGTAATCATGAAGGCTGCAATCATGTGATCGAAGCAATAATGGCAGTAAAGAAGGAGGTAGTGTAAAGACTGAAAGTCGGTGCAAGGTGCTAAGTTGGGGTGGTGTATGGGACAAGCACCACAAGACTGAGCGTGTGAAACCAAGGGAACATTGAGTCATTTTAAGGCAAGTCATCATCATGTTTCTTTTCCTAAACCTAAGCTACATTACTTTACCTGGCTAAACCTAACCTATGTAACTTTACAGTAGAATATAATATCATTCATGAGGTGTTAATTCATTGGATATCTTATGAACCATTGCACGTGCATTTTTGTAAGATATCATACAAACTGTTGTATGAAAACACACTGATGATGGAACTTCATGAGCTGTACTTATACCACCAAAAAGTAAGGCACCACAATTTTGATGTAATTTCTGTATATCCAATGTTATCGTGAGAGCTGCAATCACCTGACCAATGCAATAATGGGAGTAAAGAAAGAGGTAGTATGAAGACCGAAAGTCAAAGCACGGTTATAGGTTGGGGTGGTGGATGGGACAAACAACACAAGACTGAACGTGTGAAACCAAGGGAACATTGAGTCATTTTAAGGCAAGTCGTCATCATGTTTCTTTTCCTAACCCTAAGCTACATTACTTTACCTGGCTAAACCTAACCTATGTAACTTTACATTAAGTGTAAGCGCTAATTCCGTAGATATAATAAAAACCATTGTATGTGCATTTTTGTAAGATATCATACAAACTGTTGTATGAAAACACACTGATGATGGAACTTCATGAGCTGTACTTATACCACCAAAAAGTAAGGCACCACAATTTGTATATAACCCACATAATCATGAGCCAGTAATTTCTGTATATTCACTGTTATTGTGAAAGCTGCAATCACCTGACCAATGCACTAATGGGAGTAAAGAAGGAGGTAGTATGAAGACTGAAAGTCAAAGCAAGGTTATATGGTTGGGGTGGTGGATGGGTCAAACAATACAGAACCGAGCATGTGAAACCAAGGGAACGTTGAGTCATTTTAAGGTAAGTCATCATCATTTTTCCTTTCCTAACCTAACCTGCGGAACTTAAACCTAAGCTACATAATTTCACCTGGCTAAACCTACTGTAACCTTTGTAACTTTACATTAAGTATAAAACAACATTCATGAGGAGCTTATCTGTTAGATATCATACAAACCATTGTATGTGCATTTTTTTAAGCTATCCTACAAACTGTTGTATGAACACACACTAACAATGGACTACACAAGCTGTTTCCATATTGAGGTAAATGAATTTAAAAAAAAAATAATAATAAGTAACACTTTCATTGCAAAATAGTGTATTAGAGTGGAATCCTACTCAGGCAGACACTGCTGTGGATACAGGTTTGTTTCCTGTGGTGGAGTATTCTCAAAACTAATGTAATGACTCATAAAGGGACTGAGTGAACTGGAGGCTACATAAGCATACCACTGTGACCCAGACACCATCATTAGCAATGCGATGTAGTAAGACATTCACTGAGATAATGGTGACTATCTCAGTGCTATTACTAGAAGAAGATGTGTGGATGATCCAGTGCTCTTGTCACTGTGAGAACAGAGAAACCAAACATGTTTCAGTCTGAGGCTCAAGGGCTGTAACACACACACACACATGCACGCACACACACACACACACACACACACACACATTTAGAGGTGGGTGACAGTTCACACGTGAACATAAGTACTCTTTCTCCCACAGAAAGGGATGTTGAGTTTCTTTCTTTTTTTTCTTTTTTTAGCACTTAATAAGTTCTGTGAGGAAACACATTACTCAGAACTGAATATTTCTTAACCCGTAAATGTTACATTTTCTTCCCTGAAGTACTCTTGATAATTTGTGTGAGGGAAACAAAACCCACTTGTTACAGAATGACATGGCCAGTCATGGCCAATCTTGCATCAGCAAGCACTTTTCTTTTAAGTGAATCATGTGGCATGATAATAGCTTTTCTGCTGTATTTGTCATTCAGTTCTCTTGTGGTCTGTGAATGACATTATATCGGCAAATCTCGAAACTATATGGAGATTTCATTGTATTTTTTTCTTTCTCCTGAGCACGAACAGATACAAAAGCATGATGGCTAATGACAAAAAGGTTTCAATATTATTAAAAAAGAGGCAGACGTACATGCAAGGTCACTGCAGTAATATTCCTTTCAAGTTGTGAAAAAGTTACATCTAAATGAAATGTCATCATGGAAATAATTTTCTTTGCTGCTTTCCAGCTGTCAAACTAAAACTCTGCTAAAAGTAGAGTAGGCTGTGTTCAATCAAGTATCACTCCCATGTTCTTAGTGGCACCATAGACTTCATTACTTTTTCATATTTATATAACCACCCACACACGACCTTGAGCAGATGTTGGATGGACCTGAAGAATCCACCTTTCAGACGCTATTCTTATTCATGCAAATAGTCCACACTGTGCACTCAGACTCACTTGACTGATTGCATTTGGCTAATAAACGGGAACTTGCCCGAATTGTATTCTTCTGTCTCACAAACTGTGAAATCCCTTGCCAAGTTGTCAAGTGTTTACTGCATGATCCTTCCACCAATCAACTGTGCCTCAATGAGAAATGTCATTTTCCAACATTTACCCAGGCCTTAAATATAGCAGCAAAATCCAACACACTTTTGTCATCTGCTCTCACTTTTATTCTTGCCTTACATTTTTCCCTCACCTGACCTCTCTTTCAGTGCTTTAGTTCCCTCTTTTTTGCTACACCTGTTCTTCCTGGCAGGGCACCAGTCCAGAGCTGCCAGGTTTGCAGCACCCAGAGAATCCATGTACGTAAAAGAACCTTATTATTACAGCACAACTTGGCAACGTCAAATCCATCACATTCCCCACTGAATGACCAGAGGAATGCAGGTGTAGCTTACTACTCGTGACTTTACAAGGGGAAAAAAAAAGTTTGGAGGATATGACAAACAAATTGGGCTAAACAATAAAGGAAGTGAAAGTAGGAGAGTGGTCATGGTTGTGGGTGGAAGACAGATGCGGAGCGATAGATATTAAGAAAGGCATGAAAGAAGTATCTGAGCAACAACTGGGACAGAGATTAGAGACATGCAAACACACAGACATTGTATGCAATCACATGGATGCACACCCAAACACACGTTAACCTCTATCTAAAAAGAGAACTGTGTATGAGTAACCCCCGTGGGGGCATCACAGGCTGAAATGACGGTATTGTCTGACCTTGATTTCAAAGGTGCAAAAGAGGGGAGAGCACATCCTCTCTGATAGGAAAGTGGGTTACAGTTGAGAGAGACAGCCAGCACTCCCCATGTGTTTCTCAACAGAAAGATAGTTTCCTCCTTAGCGAGTCAAGCAACTCAGGAACAGCGTGTCCTTGGTACCTAACCACAAAGCACTCAAAGCGCTGTCTATAACATGCACATAAAAAAAAAAACAAAAAAAAACACCATCGCATCTATCCAGCAACAATACAAGACAGAGTCACCAACCGGCATGTATGGCTACTGTGGCTACAGTAGTTCTCACACTAAGACACTCACAGTCACACAAAGCTTTAGAAGAAAAAATATCTGTGAAGAACATTTAAGCGGTGCTTAAAAAGCTTGCAGTTTCTGAATAATGGAAAAATTACACTTATCACAAAGACCAGTATTACACTGAACCAGGCAGGGACCTCTCACATTCTTCCTTTATGTCTGTATGAACGTGGTTTGGCTTTCAGATGATACATTATAGTCCTGAGATCATTGATTTTCAAAGGAACAAAGTATTTTTCAAGGTTCTTACATTAAGTCAGAGGCAGACTGAGGTGATTAAATACCTACGCATTGCATTTTGCAGACATGTAACACAAGCATAACATTCGGCCAAAAAATCTTTTAGATGTTTAAATAGTTATAGTCAATCCCAGCATTAAAAGAATTATGGGTTGCCTTTTTTAAGACCTCTTAAGCACTTCTGATGAAAGAAATGAAGTCTCTTCTAGGTAACAGAAGTAGATGAGTAAAAAGGGAAGAGAAGAGGGTGAGGAGGAGTCTTACCAGCATGAGTGCGCAAATGCCCGCTGAGGGCATCGCGCCGCCGGCAGGCGTAGCTGCAGAAGGGGCATTTGAAGGGTTTTTCGCCTGTGTGCAGCTTGATGTGTCGCAGCAGGTTTCCCTTCTGGGTGAACGAGACGCCACACTGGTTGCACTGGAACGGCCTGTCACCTGATAGAAACAGGCACAGGAAGTCAATACCACACTCATTGTGGAAGATGTTTTTAGAAAGTATTAACAACCCGTCAATCTATTTCTTTTTTTTTTTTTTGTATCAAACTGAACACATTTAGCTTAGCTGTTTTTTGTAACTGACAGCTGATTTTATCTCTCTATATGCACAGAACCACTAAGCTCTAATAGCTGCTTCATAGTTCAGAAAGGAAACATCATGTCTGCCTAATTGTCCTCACATGACATTTGACTCCGAGAACTGCTTCTGGTGGATGATTACTAATGACAATCAAGACACAAAACAACTGTTCAGTTCAAACTCGTATCACAACAATGAGCCCCTTTCTCATTCTGTAACGGTATGGAAATGTATTTTCTGTCTACAGCAATTTTGTGAGGTAGGCTTGTATAAGGTATTTATCCATAGTCAGTGCATTACCTGCAGTGAATGTCAGCATGCCCCCCAGTTTGGAGAAGCAGGCTGAAGTACCAACATGGAAACTCAGTAATGTACTGCCAAATGTATTTTAACCACAATAAAAAAAAAAATCATTAATTGTAGTTTGCATATATCCTCCATTAAGAATATTTTCACCACTTTACCTTGCCGTCAGACAACCTTTATCGATGGGGAACTGAAGCCGTTATGTTGCTCTCTTTAAAGCCAGACTCCATTGAGAAAAATGACAATTTAGCATTGCAGAAAACACAAGCTGCTGGTCTACTGCTGCCTCAGTTTGTTTATGTTGTTGTGTCTTTGGTGTTCCCAAGGGTTAGTCTGGATGAACTCAAGTCACACAAGTACATAAACAAACTATGTGATCAGGGGGGTGGTAGACCAGCAGCTCCTGTGTTAAGCAAGCTAAAATTACTGTTTTTGTCAATGGAGTCTGGTGGTTTGATAACAACATAGATGGAAACTGAAGCTGTTATAGGCTTTCCCTTTGAAATGATCTGCAGCATGGTAAAGTGTAACATTTTTTCAATATAGCATACATTTAAACTGTTGATTTTAAAATACATTTTGCTGCTGCCCCCATCCACAGCAGTGCATTCCGTGGCTTCAGTGGTGGTACTCCTGCCTGCTTCTCCAAACTTCACCATCTACTGTAGGTAATACTCTGACTATGGCTAGGTACCTCATACAACCCTGCTCAAAAAGATCCGAACTATCCCTTTAAGAACAATTCTCACACCAAAAGTGCCAATCCTGTATTTATTTGTGCACATTTTCCACAGTAAATGCAACATTTCCCAGAGTAATGAATGGGATTGTGTTTGTCCCCATCTCTCTTGCAGTGTATAGTATGATTTATATCATGTGGAATGTTACAGTTCAGTACATACATCTGATTTTACAAGGACTCACAGCTACTGTCGGCTCTTCTTATGGCCAATCTTTTGATCTGCAGCCAGTTGGAAAAGAGAAATCTGATCCTAATGCAGTGACAGCCAGAGCAGTCATGGCGTCAGTTGGAACAGGTTGCGGGGGATTCCAAGGATATTTTTTCCCTGATAATAATTCCAAGTCTAGGCTATTGTCCTTTAACAAAAAACAAAACAAGAAAAAAAAGCACTCCACACCCACTGTGGAGGACAACAAATGATTTCTGACTCACTCTAAATATGGGGAAACGTACACACCGCCCTGACTGTAATCATTTGAAGAAGAAGAATCCCGTGTGGATTGTCAGTGGCCAGAGATTTACCAGGCAGTTTCTTTAAAGCAGTACACACTTTTAATGGCATTTTGGAAAACTGATCGGTACCGTTTGGTTGTCGACTTCCTGCGTCAGCTGTCACATTTGGCTCAGATAAACCATCCTGTGCAATGGTTGGGCTGCCAGTCATTGATTCCTCCAATGCTGCTCCTTCCTCCCCTGTTTGGCCTATTTCTTCAAGTGCTGGGCTTCTGTTGTCAGCCTCCTCCGCTGTTTCTTCCTCTTGCTTAATTGTCAGTTCTGTAAAACAAAAACAACCGCAATCCTTAAATGCTCAGCTCACAGTGTCAAATTTAGATAATGCAAGTTTTATCGGAATGCGAAGAAAACACCCCTACCACGACAAAATACTCGACAGCAACCACGAACCATACAGCAACTGTGTGGCATAGGTCAAGTATAAACAGATTAATTAAAATGATCTGTGTTTGCTTGCTGTGGATGGACTGAAGGTGAACTACAACCCAAGGGTGTAGCTCGTAGTTAAAGTTGAGGTTAGGGTGAGTAGCCTTTATGGAATTGAGTTAAACTTCAAAGGCCTGGGATGAACTGTGCTGGTCTCAGAGTGGACTGGATTGGCTGGAGGTAAAATCAGTTCATCTGCAATGGACAATGGATGACTTAAGAGGGATAGCTGTGCAAAATAATATATTCAAGGGGCATGTGGAGGGGGGATCCCAGTAACTTAGCAACTCAACTTGTAGAAAGCATTAGGATGGACTGATGCACTGACAAGACAGAAAGAAAGAGAGCAAAGGAGAAACAGGCTGGTCTGGTTCCTGGCTGTCCCTGGGGAGAAAAGGGAGTGTCAGAGGCCCTGTAGCTTAGAACACCTGACTAGCAATGGGAGACTGGCTGGATGACAAGGGCAAACGACTGTATAATTGTGTGTGTGGGTGTGTGGGTGGCTGTGGCGGGAAACTATTCACCACCTGCAGTCTCTACTTATCAGTCACCAGCAATTAGTGATACTTGTACACAAAAATAACTCTCCAGGAGGAAGCATTAGAAATCAGAAACGGCAATGGTTAGTTTCGTTCATCTATAGTCCTGTCCCAGTCATCACATGGACTGAACATTACCGTGTACACTTCAGTCAACTGGAAAATCAGTTTCCAAATATTCAACTGAATTCTCGAGTCTGTTTCTGACAACAAAGCCGAAACACTGCTGCGTAAGGTAATTGATTCTTTTATTCTGTACAAACCAAGGAGCTGACACTTTAGGATAGACGAGACAATGCTTGTCAAACAAAGGACTCTAATAGTGCCACAAACAGTCTTCTGAGGGAAAGGGAAAGAGTTCTTTTGTCATAGAATTTGCCCAATTTTAAGCCATTCACACAATAAATGCTTTTCTGTGTATCAGAGGTGGGACAGACTTATTGTTTTGCAAGTCACAAGTAAGTCTAAAGCCTTTGCACTCAAGTCCCAAGTCCAGGGAGGAAAGATGGTTCAAAAGAGGAGTAAAAGAAGCCATCTACGTCAAGCTGGGACGACCATCGTTAAACAGAGGGGGTGGCTTACGACACTACTTATCCCCCACCTACAATGCAGTCTTGGGATTCCTCCCCAGGCGACTTCATAGCCATTCACCCCTGGTCCCACCTGACCCTAACGACTCACATGGTGGCCAGGTGGGTCAACGACTCACATTGTGACCTTAACTACTCTGAAACTAAGAGCTCACGTGACCCCTCCGACTCTGCAAGGGTTCCCACCCACACAGGGTTTATAGCCTGCAACTTTGTACCAGTCATTTAAAACTGAAGAAGCTTCTTGGACGAGAGGCGAAACGTTTTCAAGAAACATAAGCAAGTCCAGTTGCCTACGATATTAGCACTTATGATTACCATGACCTGGATGACTGAGAATCTTCACCGACAAGTCCCAAGTCAATTTCTGAGTCAAGCCCTGAGTCAAACTGACAAGTCCCAATTCCTATACTTATTCAAGTCATAATAAAATAATACATTTCAGAAAATCAGGAATGCTTTTAAAAATATTTGTTAAAAACAAGTTTGTTAAAACAAGTGCAACTCAACTTACTAATAAAAAACAGTGCTGACACTGCACTTTCATAGCACATAGCACTTGTACCCCACCAAAATGAATTTGTATGTTTCTGTCCAGTCTTCTTGTATTTTATTCATCTCATTTATTTCATTTCATTTATTTTATTTATAAGGACAATGCATATTAATCAACATTTCTGTAAATGTGTCAGTTTTAGTAAGCTGGCTAATTTTCAACTCCAGTCCTTTGGCAAGAGGTTTTGAAACCAATGAAATGATAAAATTCAAAGGACAAAAACAGCATAAAGATATAAAAACAGCATTTACTGCAGCGGACAGAAATTCTCAAGACAGAAGCCATGCAAAACAACAAGCAGCAGCAGAGCATCAGTACAATACAGTATTGGATACATGTATATAAATTTATATTTGCAATTGTTTAGACATTTTCTGTAAGACTAATCTTCCTTTAAAGTGATATTGTATGTTGCTGCATGTTTTATGCTTAAATTAAGTAAAAAGAGCTGAATCAGAAAATGATGGGAAATGAATTGATTGGCAGCACACTTTTTAAATAACATACTTTTTAATCTTTGGGCTTGGAGGGGGGTATCAGGTATTTCAAGTCAAAAAGCTCAAGTTCAAATGAAGCCATGAAGTCCAAGTTGAGTTGCAAGTCTTTTTTTTTTATTTTGTCAGGTCTGAAGACATCAAATTTGTGACCAAAGTCTGACTTGAGTCTAGGGCTGGGCAGTACATCAATATTATATGGATATCATGAGACTAGATATCATCTTAGAGTTTAGAGATTGTAATACTGCAAGTGTTGTCTTTTCCTTGTTAAAAGACTGCATTACAGTAACATGATGTAATTTTCTGAACTTACCAGACTGCTCTAGCTGTTCTATTATTTACCTTTACCCACTTAGTCATTATATTTACATTACTATGATTATTTATCAAAAATCTCATTGTGTCAATATTTTGTGTAAGCACCAACAGTCAATCCTACAATATTGTTGCTATATCGATGTTTGATTTTCTCCATATGACCCTACTTGAGTCTTTGACATGTGACTTGAGTCTGACTTGAGTCCACACCTTTGCTATATGTACCAATATATGTACATATAGATGCTGTTATCCAGCAGAATTCAGTATGTCATTTACAGTTTCTTGTGCCTGGCTTGTTCAGTCTTTGAACATCTGTCATACACAAAACAATATCAAAACCATTTGCACGCTTCACACAAGGATTACGCTGCTTTTGTTGTCTGAATTATGTTTTTTTTTTTATAAACCCCCCCTGAGACAAGATTCCGGGCCATGTTGTAAAACTTGACTGTAATTGATCGCCTATTAAAGACTTGACTTTGTTCCCACTACAGCTGTGACAAAAAATTTCCAAGAATCACACTAGGGAATGAGCCTTGCGCCAAAAATAAACCCTTGATCATGTATATGGGTTAAACTATATGTGAAATGGGCTTTACACAGGGTGCAAAAAAAAAATGTTTGGACATCATCCAAGCAAAACTTACTAATCCTGATGATCCTGTTTTGGGATTTACCGAGGTAACAATCACAGTGTGAGCATATGTGGTTGTTTTACTAAAGCCTCCCATCTGACTGCATCCATCAACTGTCCCCTCAGGCTTTGGAACTGCATCCACTTAACTCTCAGAGGCGAGTAAGATATTCAGGCAAGATTTCCCCCTTTTATAGACTATAGGGAGAAATGTCCACTCTTTAAACTGATACTGTATGTTTCCAATGCCACAGTTTGCACAAAAGAAACAGTTATCCCAATACCCACATTGCGATCGTGCCTTGCCTTTGACAGCTGTATCCTGGCAACACGGAGCAGACCTGAATGTCCTTGCTATTCAGCTCCTTGCATCTTTACATCTGTCTCTCCAGTGTGGCAGAGTGGAATGCATAGAGTGGTCAGATGAGGATACACTTGATACTGTTACGACAAAAGCAGCAATGAAAATCGTAGAGGCGCAATTTTGGCATATTTTAACCCCTCCTCCAGACACTACGCAGTAGGGTCTGGGAAATATCTGAGTTTCCAAGAATCCATAGAAACTCAGGGGGGAAGATCACAATTGACTGAGAGCAACACATAGTTATGAAGAAGACATTATGTCACTCTCACCAACCAAACTGTCACCTAGCCCAAAGGATGTAATTCTACTCTTCTACACTTTATTACCAGACAGTGCACAACTTGCGTTTCAGCTTGCAAGATTAAGAGTGCGGTACTAAAATTAGACAGCACTTCATGCTTATTTTCAACAGATGATATGATGCAGCCCCTCTTTTGTAACAAAACCTCAAAGAGCAAATCATGTTAGGCAACTTTCAGAATGACAACAGCTCTTATTGGTGAAGAGTATCTCCTGTGAAAACCAGGCCCAGCTCGCCTCCCTGTATCTCTAAACTTGTGGGAAACAAGCTTCCCTTTTTTCTCCCCCAGCTGCCTCGTCTCACATAGTTTCCCCTTTTCTTACTTTGCTGCTTCACAGTGACATCGCTAGAGCTAATCTGAGGTTCCAGGTCAATACTGTGAAAGGAACCAAGCAACACTTCTGGGTGAGTGCAATATAGCACAGCAAGTGTGATATGGTGCAGCAAGCTGCAATATGGCATTTCTGTACAAAAGCCTTAACTGTGGAAACGACTCACTGTAACAAGTGTTCATCCTTGTTTCATTACAGTCTTTGGGGTAAATCCACAAATTCATTGGGACAGAACTTGGTTTCTAGTTTCTCTTTTGACTATACTATTTGGACTTGGCATTTAGTGGTTTTATGTGATGTGCTTTACAGTTCTCAACTCAAATCACACACACACACACCAATGGCAGATAGCTAACATGCAAGGCCAAACCCAAAGACTATCATATATTTACAACATCACTCATCATTTACTATCAGAAATGACAAAGAAAAGCAGCAAATTCTCACATTGAGGAACCTAGAACCAGCAAGTGTTTGACATTTTTGTTGAAAAATTACTTATTTGATGATAAAAATAGTAAGTGATTCATTTTCTTAATCAATTAATTGGTGTCTCTAAGCCTAACCATTAGGAGCACCTATTTTATGATCAGCTCACATTTGCCGCGTTAATTTTCTGATGCAACTAATCCAAACTTAGCACATCCTCTATCTGTGTCACATCAAAGGCCTTCCAGCAGTTCAGGGGAAATACAGCAATCCTTTCTTCCCCAGAAGGCTTTTATTACGAAACTATTGAGTTTCACTAAAACAGAGCAAAATACGCTGATCAGAATTAACTGATGTAGTGAGAACAGCGTGTGTTTGTTTAATGGAGAATCCGTGTGTGTGTGTGTGTGTGTGTGTGTGTGTGTGCATACTGAGGTTGCTCTTGGCAGACTGCAGATATGTGGATCTACTGATGGAGCACTCACCACTGGGGGAATTAGGACCCTGAGGAACTGTCTGTCCATTAGGTGTTGACGTATCCGCCAACATTCTCGAGTTCTCCTTACCGGGAGAGCATTGGCCGTTACCTGGGAGACAAGCAGAAACACAGCAATCTTCATTGTGCTGTACAATACTGTAGTTGTACAACAAATACAAGACAATGCTGCCATGTGAAATAAAAAAAACACAGCTTTGTTGTTTTTGATGGTATATATCCAACTATGTAATGATTAAGGCTTTAAAAACAAAGATGGGGACTCACTCCATGCATTAAAAAAAAAAAAAAATCCAGTCTATTGATTTTCATAGAGACAAAAAGAAAATTCCTTGCTAAACAAACAGTCCACATACAAAGCCCTGTGTAAAACATCTTCTTCTCAGGTTAAACATGATTCATTTCATCCTCCTGTCAGATCTCCTTCAAAGCCCTAACCTGAGCGGTCACTATGGAGGTCACAGTACAGAATGTACCAGGCAACTAACTAAACTGTCTTTATGTGCCTATGGGATCCTAATGTCCAGCAAATGTGGATCAGATTGCATCCTCTCAGCAGTCTGTACAGAACCCGGGCTATGGATAGCCCTGTGTCCTGTGTCCTGTGTGGTTTCAGGGAGAGCAAAGCAATCCCTTATCCCCTTACACCCCGGCCCTGTCAGGGTCACTAGAACAATACAGTGGCAACAGGCAAACACCCCTGCTGACCCAGGTGTCAGATCCCTTAGGAACCAAAGTGAGCCATCATTCACAAGCAGCACAATTAAAGTTTTTCCTCAAGCATACGGTCAACTGTGAGTATCCATTATAATGACACCAGACTGCCTCATGCATTTACAACTGATGTAGCGATAGCTGTAGCCGAGTGAAGTTTCAGTTAAAATCAAAGGAACGTGCTATGTGCTACATCTGAAACTGCTACAAGGAAGGCCTTGTTACAATTTGTCAGCGCTTAACATGTCTGCAAAGGTCCTTCATACTGTACATGAAAAAAGAAATCTCTGTCAGATCTCCAATTGCTGTGACAGCTCCTCTTAGTTTGACAACCTCCTCTATGGTATTGTTCTATTGTAGTGGCGGCCCCACTCAGTGGGGCATACTGGGAGACGCTGTCCATGACACAATCCCTGGGCCTGGGCTCAGGTTGCACAGGTTGGTGTTGGAGGAAATCTCAGGTGACCGACACTGGCTCTCCCTTGGCAATGCTGTCCTGGAGACAGGAGTGGCCCAGATTTGTCATGAAGGATTTTCCATTACTGTAGCAGATGCTGACAGCTGCCTAGCAGCAATGTGGCTAGGTTGTCTTAAGCCTGAAGTAATGGCTCTTGGCTGTCTGGACTAAATTGCTACAGAATATAGGAGTAGTCCATTAAAAATTTTAACAGCGTTAAAAACAGTTAAAGTATCAAGGTAAAATTAGAAATGTATTCAAAAGCTATCAAATGGATCATTTATGAATAATCCTATCAATATGGTCTTTTTTAAATGAATAAGTAATGACGTCAAATAGGCTTTTTGTCATCAAAAGCCAAGTGTCAAGGTCTCTTGGCAAACACTGGCAATCAAAGGAATACTTTGATGTTTTTATTGATATATTAAGTCTGTCTCTTGCTTGAGACGATGATCAGATATTCCTCTACATCTAGTGAAGAAAGTGCATTTCCATGCCTCTTCAAATAGAGTCCTTTAATGTTTGGAAAAAATGTCTGTAAGTTACGAACTCAAAGTCGGTTAATGATATTCTAAACCACACACTTACTTGCTCGGATTGCGTTGGTGACCCGCGTTTGCTGAGTCAATTCTGTATGAACAGTAAGATCAGGATATCAAACAGTCGAGACTTGCCGGGGGAGAGGTATTTTGAGTAATACACTAAATTGGGATAAATTAATACGCTGGTAAATGGAAAGGAACAAATGTGTACACCTGAAACTTGTAGGTGTAATAATTGCTGACTTCATCTGTGACACTAAATGAATGCACAGCTTCTAAAGTGCAGTCATCCTCTCAGGAATCTAACAAGGGTCAGTGCAATTTCTGGTCTTACAAGTTATTCAAAAGAGAGCGCAGGCTCGTATAAAAGGTATCTAGGTTCAAGAACCGTGCCATGAAAACAAATCTAAATTAAACCGAGGTCAAGCTCCATCTGCCTGCTTGTAATAGTGAGAATGAATTAAATTCACAGAAAATGGTTCAATAGCACCCACAGTGCGTCTAGCTGCATGAGGAGCTGAATAAGTTTCTTTTCCGGAGTGACAAGCCTCTCCATTCTGGCTTGCTGGATACATACTGTATGGGATCTGGTTTTTCCTGTCAAACCCTGAACCTTCCTTAAGACAAAGATTCATAACACAGACACGCACATTCAAACACACAACTGACCCAGCAAACAAAAAAAAAATACACAGACACATGACAGCATTCATTCACATGCTTTTAAAACTGAACTGTTAGATAATGTATTGAAAGTGCTTGTGATTAATTTAATTTGTGAATACATTTCTACAGTCTCACACACACACACACGCACACTTGATTCAAAAGTATTACAGAAGCACTTGCTGTTAAATGCCAAGCCATAGAGTGCACTAGTGCGTTCCATTTGCGGTATGTGGGGGTGACCCAGAGAGCAGGGAAACCTAATATAGTCCACATCTGCAGATAACTGATCTTAAATGATCTGCAAAGTGGGTACAAAGAAGTGACAACAATAAAGAGACTGAATAACAGTGTCATCTGCATTAATATAATAACATCCATGGAGTGCTGCTGATTATTGTTACAATGCATGTAAAGCAAAGCTGGCAGTGCAACAAAAACTTTCTGGTTAGCTAGCCAATGGTTCTGCCCTGATTTTAATGTTAATGATTTTAAATGGACACAAATTACAATAATCTGATTTGCATTTAGGCCATAAATCATACTTATCCTCTCGCTTACAAACGCACGCACGCACAGCATCATCATCATAATCTCACTCATACATTGCACAATCAGCTACACCCCCTTGTTTCCACAATTACACACTCACTCACATTATTGTTTAAATACTACTTACATTGTTAACAGTGCTGTTTAAGTAACTGTAGCCGTTGGCTTCACTGGCTGAAATAACAGCTGTCATCAGCACATTTTTAAAGATGAAACTAATCAATGTTAACTGCAGGAGCTACTCAAACTAAAATTGAAACTTTTGTTTTATGTGCTCTCTTGGCAGCTGTATTAATATCACACTGAGAAAATACTCCACTACGAGTAAAAGCACTTAAAACCTTGCTTAAGTAAAAGTATTACGTGTTATTAGCAAAATGTACTTAAAGTATCAAACTAAAAGTACTCATTGTGCAGTAAAATTGTCAATAAAATGATCCCAGTCAGTGTATGTTTTTGGATTATGTTGCATTTTACTGCTGTGGCTGTTAAAGGTTGTGCTACTGTATTGCTGCTCAAAAATGAGGACTGTAAATGAGACAAATTTAAGTCAAGGGAGAAAAGTTTTGCAGCATCTAAGATGGTTCTGAACCTCGTGTTTCCCCTCAGATTATTGTGCAGGACCTCGGGTAAATGTGTTTTGTTTCACTGATGAACTGAAACTTTAATGGCCTCAAATTATTCTATGTTAAAATGCGATACGGTTCAAGACAACAGCAGTTTCTCTGGTCTGAGAACAACTCATGCACCTCATTATTTTTAATTTGCCTCACTTTTTCTGTCAGTTACTACTCAGGAAATGTTTGCACCTGTCCATACTAATGACATTTAATGCCACTTAACTAGAGCAACAAAACTAGAGATCAAACTGGAGAGGGTTGTGTCTTTTCTCTGTTTATAAATACTGACAGAGCGCACGAACGACTGACAACCGGAACATGATAAAGAGAAGTTGGAATATCCCATTAACCCCAGAATAATATCAAATACTGTTTAAGGTAATCAGCTTAAAAGCTTTGAAATGAGACCTTCAAGGTTCAAGGGAGTGAAGCATGCCTTGTTATGTAAGTTTCTTAAACTAGCATTATCTTAAACAAGTACATTGTTAAGCTGTCTAAAGTATTTTGTTGGTATTGTCAGTCATATATTGTTAATGTTAGCCAAGTGGACAACTTCATACATAACTGAGTGTTAAGACTTTATATTTTTGAGAATGACTGCACAATGTTAGGTACATCTTCAATTATATTACGAGCTGTGTTAAATGTTCGATGGATTGTTTGGTCTTTGTCACCATTCATTAGAATTCATCCTTTTGTTTTTCATTACTATGCAGTATAGTGTACCATTGTCAAGTCTGGTGTATGTTGTGTGTAATGTGATTAAACATAAACCATTTGCTGTCCTTTTTTTGTCCCCTACATTCTGAATCAGTGTTCTTCAAGTTGTTCATACCAAACACAGATTTCTTTCTTAAAAATCTGCACGAAAATTAATGAAAATGGATTTTGTGGATTCTTTCGAATGCTTGCATACACCTGTGGAACATTTGCACAGAGAATAAAATATTCAAACAAACCCCAATTTCTGCTAATTTCCATCTATGGAAATGTTTCACCAAGTGAATCCTTTGTTCCAATTCACCCCAGTGATGTCATACCTCCATGTCACCGCTAGCTTGCTGCCAAAATTGAGAACGTTCTATCAGTTTGGTTCCTGCTTCAGCTGATGGAAATGCTAATGTAGCTGATACGCACATGCTAACGTGATAAGCTGTTCACAGAACATGACAAACATAGCACATGGCTAATTATTATGCAGAATGATGCTACTAGGGGCACTGGGTGCTACTTTGACGGACCTCAATCAAACATTTCCTTTTCCTTGGTTGCATTTTGCAGTATTCTATGCAACATTGATATAATGATGGTGGTGGGAGTGTAATCCCCTGAGAAGAACATGGAACTCACATTTCTTCATTGACAGATTGGAGGTCTGATGTTTGGAGCAGCCAAGTGGATAAGTTGGTAAGTTACTAGATATCAGCCATATACAACATACAGAAACACAACTCAATGTGAATAAGATTAACAATGATGTCTACATCTGTTCTAATGTAAGTCGACATCGTGTTTTAGACAACATATTGTGACTTTGCTGGAATGAAATATAAAGTTATCTTTAACATCTCTAGCTAATGTTAGCTAAAGTTAGCCTAACGTTAGCTCCTAGCTGCGTTGTTCATCATGTCACCTTGTTTGCTGGGAGTTCATTAGCCTATTTTGTTCTAGTTTTGTACTTTGGTGATCTTACATCATTGTTAGCTGTTGTCCAAAGGGCTCTAGTTTAGCTAACGTTATCTTCTGGAGCTTAGCTTCATTAACTTATCTGTAATTGCAGAGATAACAAAGGTTGGCAAACGTTATGCTGAATGATTCAGTGTAAATACTGTAGCACCAAACTAATGGAGAGACACTCTTGGTAAAGATGGTAAAAAGGCCGTTATCCTTTTCTCATATTCTGAGCCAAAAACTTTAACTTCAGTGGCACTTTATCTTGACTTTGATGGCCACGGCAACGAGATGCGGTTTATCACGTTTACACTTGGACCTGTAAATTTCGGCTTGTAATTTAAGTTTTTCATCAACCTTCTCAACAATAAAATGATGAATATATCCCTCCAATGTGTAGTTTAGACCCTTTTGGTTACTTCTCAATGACATCTGATTGTTATGTTCCCAAAAATCATCAATTCCCTCCTCCAAAATGCCGTGTACTGTGACACCTGCCATAGCGCCGGTCACTGAATGTTGATCTTTTGTCCAAGTGAGTGGAGGGGGGGCGTGGCTTAGCCACAGGTCAATCCACACCGGCACCATTGTGGATAGTTGTCATACGTAAAATTCACATGTAGATTTTACACAGCTTTTACACTGCAACTGGTTTTGGCAAAACTGCACCTAATTATGGTCACATCAGTAAGAAAAATCTAACTTAAAATTTTAGAACCCCTGGGAGAACTAACCACGAGGCATCTAGGAACCTGTATACATTCATCTAATGACCTGCATGTAGAAACCACATGAGATCTTATTTCTCTAAGTTAGAAACAACATGTATCTATGAGGAAATGAGCATGTGAGGTAGAATGACAATGAACATGAAAGAGAATAAAGTGCATGTGAGAGAGCAGAAAGATCTTTTGAATCTGTGATAAATTATGATGGTGTGTGTGATAATGGAAAGCGGTGTGCCGTGCGTGTGAAAAGGTACAACTGTGTGTGTGAGAACGATAATCTGCGAGAGAGAAAGCGACCGTGTCAATGACAGCGCATGTGGTTACAAATAATAGTGTGAGTGGAGCATTTATATATAAAGGAAAGCTTGGTTGATTAAACAGGAAGGGAGCTTGAATTTTCGATTCCAAATAACTGAGCGACCTTCTCGAAAACAAAACTTGTACCTGCTCAATGGCAGCACTGTCAACATTTAGGCTGCGAGAAGCATTCAGATCCAGTCAGTGGGCCTTAAAGGACACCGTGTTTTGTCGGTGCTGTAACAAGGTTGCTCTGTTATTTCAGATAATTTTATCTTCCACTCTTCTTTATGAGTTCTATGTGAGCCATCGACTACAAATATTGTTAATCACGTACAATCATATACTGTCAGGCTGTGTCTCATACTATTCTCAGTCACTTACACTGTTTTTACAAATAGACAATAATACTACCTATATGTGAATGAAAATAGTAGTAATCTCCCACATGAATTCTAATTCATGCTTTACTTGTGCACGGTTTTCTGCTGAATTTTCTTTCTTTCTTTCTTTCTTTCTTTGCAGTTCTTGTTTATTTGCCGCAAACAGTCATGAAACAACAGTACAGGCTGTAAACCAACAATGTATGTATCGTGTGTGTGTGTGTGTGTGTATGTGTGTGTGTGTGTGTGTGTGTGTGTCTGTGTGTGGTGTGGCTGATGTGGCTGTATGTGTGGCAGCTAAGCCTCTACCTATTCTCAAAGCGTACGGGAAACTCAGCTCATTCTGCTATTGTCGACCCTTCTCCTGTTTTTGGCTATTATAGTCAAAATTATTATAGTATTATTATTACACATTAAAAATAAAACTAACATACACACATAGCTAGGACACAAATATAGGCCACCGGCATCTACACATTTGACCTCATAAACGATGTAAGGAGCATGATGGACATCACTGGGTTTACCCTGTGGTGCTGGAAAGGAACATGATAAGTCAGGCTGGATATGAGTGAGTGATGGAATATAAAGCGCACATTATCAGTATCAGGCAGTACCGAAACCTTAGTTTCAGTGAAAAAAAAAAATATCACAATTAGTGATATTACAGCAAAGATAAAAAGGTACCAGCTAATGAACAGATGTACGCTTTTGCAAGTCTTTAGTCATGGAGCTGTGACTTTGTAAGCAATAATATGAATAAGAAAGATGTTTCAACCTTACTGTGATGAACTAAAATGACATCTGTTATCTGTCTGCAGTCACTGCACGTTGAAGCTATTGAACTCAGGGTACTGTCAGTCTCGACCCTATGATAAATCACACAATCAAGCGCAAAGTGTATTAGCTTGTGCCGGCAAAACTTTGCCTCAATTTGTGTCTCCGAGGGGAATAAGACTCTGTGTATGTCTTTGTATTGACTTTATATGCACTCCTGCCACCTTTAAAATCCTCTACATCCTCCTCGACATTCACTATATTCTGTTTGACACACGTACTAATGGGTGTATACAGTACGATATGATAAGTCAATTTGTGTGTTCCATGTTGGTGAGTAGAGGAATATGTTTGCATATGTTAGGATTTAGTGTACTTGGGGTTGATGATGATGATTGGCTTTAATTATATGTGCTAATGTGTTGAGCATATAGTAAATGCACAGGGGTAATGAGGACACAAACTGTTGCATTCCACATAGATGTGTGTTTTCCGCAGTTTCATGCTAACGGAACAGGGTTGTTCCAAACATATCATTTCAGAAGCGACCCACAGACGGACAGGGAAAAGAAGAGCCTCCATTGCTCCCACCACCACCACCTCCCCTACCTCGCCTGCCAAGTGTTCCTATAAGCACAAACCCCCGATGGAGACCTAAAATCCCCGCTGATGTCATAAACAACATGCTACTTGTTTTCAGATTTGCATACCAGAGCAAAATACAAGAGGGGGCAGGGAAGAAATAGAGATATATTCAAGAGACCTGCCCATAGGAAACCAGCAAAGGGCAATGGAGCACCACAAAGTGCGTATCCAGTATCTGCTGCATTCAACAGGATGTTGGTGAAGTTCGTTTTCTCTACCTATAAGGGGTGAACAGGAAAAAGGCTGCACTAGGGGAAAATCCCTTGAAATGTTTATGGTGTTGTGATTGCCAAAATATTGTTTTTTTTTTGTTTGTTTTTTTGGGTATCAGCATTGTATCAGAAAGTTGGAAAACACATGAAAGTCAAAGTTAAAAATGCCAAAGTCACAATAACATAATCACACACCAACGCAGACTTTGTCAGCATTATCACCATCATCGGCTCAAGGAAAGACACACACACACGTTCCGATGTACTGCACACTACTGGCCTTGGATTTAAAGTATGGGTCAGTGAGTGTCAGTGTACATTGAATAGAGTGTGTTAGCAACATGAGGACTTACTAGCACAGTAGCCATCGGGGGCCTCCATTTCAAGTGCTGTGGGAGTCCTGCAGAGAAATAAAAAAAACAAACATTATTTTCATACAAAGGTTTCTTGCATAATGCATACATTTCTTGCCTTGGTTCTTTATTTGTTTAGCTGACTGTGTGTTTCAAAAGCTGTGCAGCCTGAGCTGGGTGTCTATACTGCAACAGTGATGTGCACCTGCAGAGTTAACCTTGGTCAAGTAGCCATACAAATAACATGAACCTGCAAACGCTGAGTTTAAAATCCTACTAATACCCACATTTAAGGGTTTATAAGCAGCTTTAGATGCATGGAGTCCAGTGTACAGAGGTGCATTACAACAGACTCTGGTCTGTGCTGTTTTCTTATTAGAGAAGCACATATATTTAGCAAGCTACCCAACAGCCACATTTTAGTTTCATGTTCTCTATAAAAACATTTGTGTAGAAGTTAAACTGAAGCTTGCATGGTCTCTCCATTTTCTGCAATTTACACACGTGTGGTTTGTATATCATGTATGAGACAAACTTTTGTCGAGTCAGTAACGGTGCAGTTGAATATTTAAGCTGTATTTTTTTCAATTGAAAACAGGCAAACGGAAATATATAAATATACCATACCCTAGAGTGACAGAGCAGTAGTGTCACTACAAAATTTTAAAAAAGGAGGAAAATGAAATCACTAAAATCTAGTTAGAATTCAACTTTTTGTGCAAAACGGGTATTAGACTGACCAAACAATCGGCACAATCCATAACATTAACTTAAAAAACAAACAAGAGGCATTCAACTGTGCAGATAATAGTGTTGATAATACATTGTGTCTGCTTGTGTCTACTGGCTTCTTTGAGGAAGTTGTAAATGAGCTGTAGGTTACTTGCAAATTGATTCTAATTTAAAATTGCAAAATTAAAGTTTGGGACCACCTTTGTACCTTGACGCAAAAGTTATCGTTTCATGGAAGACTTCTTTAAGTCAGCACATAGGAGTAGCGTTGCATCAGAGAGTTTATTAATATCTATTATACAGAGTCAGAACACATAACATATTTGTATTGCTTCCTTGAAGAACATACAGCTTAACCCTTTCATTATAATAAATTGAAACAGTTCAAAGGTGTCACTGCAGAAACTTTTTTTCAGGTCTACAGGCCCAGTACAGACTGCCCCACATACTCTCTCAGCTTCACTGGGTTCAACTTTTTCTAGCAGTATACTGTATAAAAAAAGATTATGGTAATTCCTAAATGTTTTAGCTTCACTCTGTAGCTACATGGAGGAAACTCTGGCCACTCTACAGTCACAGAAAGTTGGAGAGCCATGTGTTTTAGATTATGATCGTTTTATCGTGATAGGTTAACAGCTATAGAAGTGAAACGTGAAAGTAAAACAAGAAAGAAGCATGTAGTGTATATAGAAGAAAAGGTAGATTACCTTCACACGTCTCCCTTGTGCAAAATAAGTTGGTGATTTCAGTCAAGGACGGGGGAGGGGGGTGCTAAGTTGTCTCCACCTCCCTTTAATGAAACAAGCAAACCAAAAAAAGTCAAAATTATGACTGATCTCTCACAACTGTATGAAAGTAAAAGCTTTTCCTCTCAGGTCAACATGTTTCAATAAAATGAAGTGAAGACGAAAAACAACTGAGAAGCAGAGAAAAGTTTAGGAGGAGCGCATCTGTGGTGTCCTACAGGTGACTGTTGCTGCGTCAAAGCTTCTTCTGCGCGCGTCCCGTCGAGTTTTCCACTTAAAAAGCGTCACCGTCCCATCGAGCCCTGCACTCAACTTGACTCAAACTTGCGACATTTCTTCAGAAGTCGGCACAACTACAAGCTGAGCTCTTACGCAGCGCAGTGCCTGCTTCTTTTTTCTTTTCTGTTTTTTACAGTAGGAACAACCGATAGGGGGGAAGACTCAACAAGTTGGTGAAGGGAAAGAAAGAGAGGGATGGATCAAACTGGATCCACCGGTTCCTAAGGAATTAGCCATAGCGGCAGGGAGCAGTCAAGCTATTTTCAATAACCAAGAGACTGGAAATCCGTGGGTAGGCAGTGTTGAAATAAGCCACTGTGGAGATGTGACTCAAGGTCGGACCGGCAGAGCCTCACGCGTTTTAAGTGCTGCTGCGGGGAATGGGAATAATGAGAATAAGCTGCTGCATCAAGGGACATTGCAACCAATAATATGACAGACATTATAGAAATTAAAATTATGACCCAGCCCTATTCTAATTTGCCACTACTTCCTAGTATGACTTTAGGTAGCCGAATGAACATTTATGTCAGCAGCAAACAGGTGGGAGCACTGTATCGTGCAGATGCACAGACAGTGAGGACAGGGCGCATTTACCTGCATCTCTGGAAATAACCATCAGCTGCTAAAAAAACGTGAAGCCAGTTTGTTGTCATTGTGTCAACGCGCTTTGTTTCTCGTGTTAAGTGATTTCTCAGCCTGCTGTGTCGCCTGCATGGCTTTTGGAGCTGACTGACAGCTACAATTCAACAGGTTATCCGATCACCGCAGTCTACAGCAGAGCCCGTCTGGCTTTCCATTCATCAGACAGACGCTCCTCGTCTGCCTTTGCCGCAGACATGCGCCTCCAGCAGCAGCTCTGAAGCTCTGTAGCCTCCTGACAGTCGAATAATACTGAATGGCTCACATTAAAGCGGCAACAGAATGCTTAGTTAATGCAGGAAACCGATTCATGCGCTTATGTTTCCTCTCGCTCTCCTTTTTTTTATTTACCTTAAACACGTAGGAGTTTATATAATCCCATGAACTTGCACACTGATCCCGACTGAATGTCTCGGTTTGGAATAGACTTCATTCTAGCCCGACATGCGGCGGCAGCAGCAGCAGCAAAAGCAACAGTTGTTCAATCCACCACTGACTTCCTCCTCCATCTCCAGAGCAGAGCTGAGCGGCAGACAACCCGAGTTGCTATTCTGGGAAGTTGGTCTGACACAGAGAAACCGATCACAGAGTGTGGACCCAGTCTGCCTCTCTGCTCGGCAATCGATTGGGTTTCAATGGGCCTCTTATTTCTGAGGCTGCAGCCAGGTTATATCCCTGTGGCGACAAAAGTATAACTGTCATACTCTCAAAGTATTTCTATAGAGATTACAGTGCACCCGAGGACATAGAAAAGTGACCATATGCCTGCTTCTGCATATTCTGTATGCTGCAGCTATTTATAACGTTTGGCTCCTGCAGTTATGTTGCAGAAATTTGGCGTATTTGTGAGAGAAATACTAATTTTAAGTAATTAATCTTTATTACACATGCTAGCTTCTAATATCTTTTTTTTTAATGAACAGGGACAATGCACAAAGAATCCCCAACTCATGCTGTCTCATTGTTTCATCGATTACTATTTCATTTCTCTAAAACATAGGCCTAGCCCACAATTTTATTGTTTCTTGCTGTAAAATATTTTACTTGATTTTATTTTTGTC